CCAAACCCAAACCCAAACCCAAACCCAAACCCAAAACCCAAACCCAAACCCAAACCCAAACCCAAACCCAAACCCAAACCCAAACCCAAACCCAAACCCAAACCCAAACCCAAACCCAAACCCAAACCCAAACCCAAACCCAAACCCAAACCCAAACCCAAACCCAAACCCAAACCCAAACCCAAACCCAAACCCAAACCCAAACCCAAACCCAAACCCAAACCCAAACCCAAACCCAAACCCAAACCCAAACCCAAACCCAAACCCAAACCCAAACCCAAACCCAAACCCAAACCCAAACCCAAACCCAAACCCAAACCCAAACCCAAACCCAAACCCAAACCCAAACCCAAACCCAAACCCAAACCCAAACCCAAACCCAAACCCAAACCCAAACCCAAACCCACGACTAAGGTCAGACCCAACATTTTGATTTTTAGTCATCTTAATTGATTTTCTCAATAAATACTCATTATAAATCAATATATTATATATCAATATACTCCAAATTGAATATATAATCATATAATAACATAATATTACATCATTATAATGACTTATATAAGTTAATTTCATATAATAGATTAGACAATTAGAATATCAATGTAAACATTTCAAAATCAATTCATACCAATATATCACCTTGTAAATCATGTTAATAACAATATATATCAGTTTCAAATACTATGGTATCATTTCAGGAAATTAACTATTCAACTTGTCAACTGACCAATACTAACATCGAAGATAGAAATCTATACCACTTCAATTCACTTCCAATACATCTATATATGTTAATGAAATACATTAATATCATTTTGATATTCATCCACATCATACATGGTACATGGCTGATCTACTTGACACCTACAGGGATGTGACAACGACATCCACTATACAGATCATCATGAAACTGATACAGTACCTTACTAATGGTGAATAAACACCACTGTATCAGTTTCATGACAATTTGATATCATTCAACATGTCAGGAGTGTAATCATGAGAATAATAAATGTCAAGATAGTGAAATCATATTAATTTTAAAATCTTTCAATTACAATATCATATATAGATCAATTAATAATGGCATTTCAAAATTGGTATTGATTTTCATATCAATTCATTCAAACCTTAATGACCTATCCTTATATGAC